ATCTATATCTTTTTGAAATCAGCATATTTCTTTCGATATTTCAAACAGCCAAATATGATGGTAGAGTCGCGACGTATTAGTCCTGAACTATAGCTATCTCTCTCTGATACCTCGTCATTCTGCAGTGTTGCAGTGTAATTGGTCAGTTCAAGGACAATAGGCGTGTTGGGACTAAGACGTCGCACCAGTCACACCAATGAATTGATGAAATTTCAAATGGCGCAGGAATTGTGTGTTTTGAAATGGACATATACTAATTCATTTTTTTCATCGTCCTAGCATGAATGAAAAAATTCAAAATTAATTCACTGGTAGTTTTTCAGTATAGAGTTCACGATAATGTCGTTTTAAAAAATCAGTGGTCTTCCCCGCCCTTGAACAATCCTAACGGACAGAGGCTGTTAACATTAGCTTTTCAATTGTCGTCTGAATACCGTTATATCAAAATAACAGCATGAGATTACGAGAAAGTATTACCTAGAGCAGGGATGGCGAACCATTGGCACGCGTGCCATTGATGGCACGCGACACAATATTTTGGGCACGCCACCGAAACTGAAACAGATTGCAAATACGAAGATGCAAGAATGGTTTCATAAGTTTATTTCAAACAGACGTAGGACATTCGATTCTTGAATTCCACTGCATTATTCACCAACAAGCCTTGTGTGCTTAAGAGTGGTTTGACATATTTTGATAATGTAATGGCGGTAGTCACAAAAATTGTCAACCTCATATCGGCAAATGCTTTGAATAAGCGAAAGTTTGATGCTTTGTTGGATGAAGTCAATTCGGTGTACAATGGCTTACTAATGTATAACAATGTTCGCTGGTTGAGCCGCGGAAACGTACTTCAAAGATTTGTTGACTGCTTGGAAGAAGTCAGACTGTTTCTGCAAAATGAGGGAAGAATTGATCAATACCCTCAGTTGTTGGATGTTATGTGGCTTTCAAAAATGATGTTTTTTACAGACATATGCCAACATTTCAATGAATTGACTCCATTTGATAAACTGAACTTGTCCCAATTCGATTGGTTGGAAATTGAAGAATTTGAAATGCAGCTTATTGATTTCCAGTCTAGTTCAATATGGATTCAAAAATTTATTGAAACACGGAAAGAGTTGGAATTGATTGAAATAGAGAGATTGACAACTAAAATAAGTACAGATGCCAATAACAAAATTTTGGAAACATGGAATTCGGTTCCAAACACATTCAACTGTTTGAAGAAGCTGGCTCGTGCTATTTTGACCATATTTTCATCTACCTATGCCTGCGAGTCATTATTTTCAGAGATGAACAACATCAAAGATTCGCTTAGAAATCGTTTGACAGATGACTCCAGTTCAGCATGCATTCTGCTAAAAGCACCATCTTACAATTCTAATATAACTTATTTGTCATCTAATCTGCAACAACAGAAGTCACACTAAATGTAACATTCATTATTTTACATTGCAGAATGTATTTTTTTGTGACAGTAATTGAAGAGATTTGAGTTGAGAGAATTTATTATTATTATTTTTCGATAATCACTAAGTTAAAATTAATTGAAGGCACGTCTATGGCCTCATTAACATTTCTTCAGGAAAAATGGCACGTTGATACTCAAAGGTTCGCCACCCCTGACCTAGAGGGATTAATATGGCCCAGTCGTTCAATTTCTGACGTTATTGAAAATCCACTGACTGTGGAAATGTAAACGTTCGATCTCTAATGAACATTTCAAATTGGATATACGGAATTGGGCCATTAGTCTATTTTCAGCATCAATTTATTCATGATGAGCTTACGGAATGCCCACAGCATTTTCTCCTCTGAATGGACATAAATTCAATCTGAATGCAGATATACCGGGTTTCTCACGGTTGATGGCACCTTGGACTTAAATGAAGAACAGGTCATTGAATTATTCTGAAAATTCAACATCAGTGATTTTTATACAGTTGAATTGGGTTTTTAAGACAAACTACCATAGCAACGTCGAATTTTTTTTCTAGTGGGTATCCACCAGCCATTGTCGTTCTAGATGACAACTTAGTTAGGTAGTTAGTAGGCAAGTACCTCCTCGCACTAGGTCGCCTACTATTTTCTCATTCAGATCGACAATGCACCAGCGTATGGAATCAGAAATCTTAATGGACGTTTGAATGACAGAATAATATTTTGACGTCCTTAAATAGTGACTTTGTGCCACTTCAAATGGGTGGAAATCAACAATTGATAGGCTCAGAATCCATTCATGCCCTAACTGCATCTATTATATAGAATGTCAAATCACTACCTGGGCTAGTGTAAGGAGTTATGGAAGGCTATAATTCGAAATCTCTGGTACTGATACGCTTCAACAGGAAGATCAAATTACTGAAGTGGACGGACATACTGACCTTCATCAGAAATCCACGGAAGTTCGAAGAGGAGAATTAGGAGAAGGAATAGTAGATATTATGTGCACATGACGTGTGCAGCAGGGGTCGGCAAAAAAGGCTCACTGGGGGCTACTTGCTAGGCGACCCCCTCCCCTTTCTCTACTACTACTAGTATGTACCTATACTTATGAAAAATTAATTGACAAAATTGTAATTTCTTATCACTTGTATTATCCCGAGGTTGATATAAAATGGAAGAATATAATATGTTACATTTTAAACTAGTATTTTCATGCGAATATAATAGGTAGAAATCAGGAATCATTGGTGCCGAAACTAAATTTATTCATGAACCTGTATGCATATCAAATGAACAAATGAATTCTGAGATTATTTTATTCCCAAACACAATCTGGTGTGAAATTTTCTTACCGAATACCACAAGAGGTCAAATTACTTTCCAGGAATAATTTTACCTCTAGTGGTAATACAAGTGAGAATCTAGTTACTACAATAATTGCAGCAAGTAATCTATCGATTGAAAATATGTCAAGCCATGCAGCGTTGCCGCTTGTACCAAAAAGTAGTATCATTTTTGAGGCCAAATTTGAGAAATAATTGCATGAGTGATCAGGTAGATTTCACCCTATGTCATAATGAAGCGATGCTGGAAAAAATTTCAATGCAATTTTGTCACGATATAATAGATGATTACACCATGTCATGATATAAATAGATGGATAGTGCATCCATATGGGTTTATAAGGGGGAATTCTTCGAATAGGCACTAATAGTTAAGGGGTAGCTGAAAGCACGAGACTATATTCAAACATAACGATATCCATTGAAGCATGAAACATTATGGGTAGCAATGACAAATATTAATAAACAATAATGAATATGAAGACCTAATAACAACTTACATTATGATGACCATTACTACGAGTTCTTGTCAAGTCAGGAGTAGCCCCAGCAGACTAACTTCGGAACCCTCACATCCAATATTTTAATACATTGTTTTATTAGATTTGCATGTTTCTCATGAGAGTTCCTCGGTCAGTTTTCATAGTTCAATGTCTACAAATGATTCGATTAACTTTATGTTCATAAAACTCACATGGTTCGAAATTACTATAATATACCGTATGTCTACTCGTGACATGACCCCTTTTCTGAGAAAACTGGACTCCCAACTGATTTCAATCAGACTCTTCTCGGTGAGACTTCTGGCAGCTCGGGGGGTAGGGAATCACGATTGGGCATGGCATCCTCCGATCGTCATGGGAATTTTGACAAAATCCTTTTGGTCTCGAAGGTATCCTCGTCCTGGGCATTGGGATGAAATCTTTTGGGCTCCAAGTTTTACTAGACCATGTTCCGAAGCAGCTGAACGAAAAGAACTGCTGGCTTCTCGGGGTAGCGAATGACGACCGATGGTCATGGCATTCTTCAATCGTCGTGGGAATTTAGGCAGGATTTTTTTTGGGCTCGAAAGGTATCCTTGTCCTGAGCATAAGACTAAAATCTTCTGGGATTAAAGATTTCTTCTAGGTAGGTAACAACTGAACAAGAAGAAACGCTGGCTGTTGGCTGTGATGACGGTACAAAATCTTGGTCCATTCGTCTTGAAGTCGTCTCAATGAAGCTAGTTGACTGTGTCCATGGAAGGCAACGACGAATTCCCGTCATTTGAGAGGCTGGGCAGGCATCTCGTGGAACGAATTTCGTGGTCTTCCAACGTCAAACTTCTAGGAGCTATTTACAACTTGTAGCATTTCCACTTGTCTCCTCTTCGTTCCTGGGCTATCCAGCAGCTACCCTGTACAGTCAAACGGTCCTTGATTTGTCGATGTTTGGCCATTTGACTGCGTGGCTGCATCCCTCTGGGTGTCTGATTTCTTGTTGAGTATTGTATGCCAGTGCTCAGTGTGCGTGCATGGTTTTTCATAAACATGCAAGAAAAAATTGATTGTCAAATGCCTACGTTACAATTCACATTAAAATGAGGATTCCTTCAATTTCTCTATTATTATTTAATGAATATTTCAAACTATCTATACTAGAACATGATTAGCCTGTTGCGAGATCTATTTTATATACCTACTTCATTCGAACTGTATAAATATGGATTCCAGTCCCTTATTTTTATTGATTCATTTTATATATTTTTGATGATATAGAAGTACTTCAATTACATCATACGTTTTTCGAGCAACCGATTACCTACTCTAACTATTTTATTTCCATAAAATCATAAATAACTATCTGATATTTTGGAACTATTCGATCTCCAAAAAATCATGAATAAGTATCTGACGTTTTGGAAATTTTCTGTGTTATTTGGAGCGTTATTCATTATTATACCTGAGTGAATACGAAATATTATATCAACAATATGCAACTTGAACCAAGTGTCAAGTTCATGATTACTTCCTTTATAATAACGAGTTCGTCAAAATGCCTGCATTAGTTTTTATCATTAATATCGACTCTGTCGACATTGGAAACACCCTGTATGCAGAGGAATGAAACATTTCAAAGTCCTGTCGCGAGCATGTCAAGGCCCCTCTTGATGACATACACTTCTCCTCTTCATACTCCATCGCTAACAAGGTTATTTCGTTTCAGAAAACAAAGGAGGCGAGAGCAGGAGGATGGTGGATATAACAAGAGACAAACCAATAAAGGTGGCTGTGAGAGTCGTGGTGCCTGTAAGGGATCATCCCAAAGTAAGTTGTCATTTCGGATATATCCAGGCGATCTTCTTTTGATTATTCCACCGAAAAATTTCCGAAGGTATTAGCTTTGAGGAAATTCGCAGCGCAAAGAAATATATTGCGAAAAATGTAGGCTGACAATGTTGAGACCCTGCTGGGAAAAATATTGTTGTAGATTTTTTTTTCGCTTTAAATGAATGAATAGGTACACAAAATATACGGTTCCCTTTTCATGTAATTTCAAATTATTCATGATATAATGAGTTTCCGCTGTACCTACATAGAGGGTGATTTACGTAGACCACACATTAGAAGTTCTTCATCTTGATGCAGTTGGATTGAAAACAGGGTGTGCCAAAAGTCGGGAGTAACTTTCTTATTTCGAATAGTGAATAAAAAGGTTGATTTCATTCGAAGAAATACGCCCTTCATTCAAAGGAATTGTGATCAAACCATCAGAATATCTTACTGGAAAGAAATAAGTATTTGTCTCAGGAATAGAATCTTCAGGTACCAAATACAAGCTACTTGTACCAAGTACTCGATTTGTCGAAATCTATTGGCTGAAGAATCATATTCTATTTTATTAAATTCTCAGATACTTGGCCGGAGCTTCCAGATTATCCATTGGAGATTATCATGGCTTGAGTGCCGATAAGGGGTTTTTCCCCCAAGGGTAAGAATCTAGACAAGATTATACTTACGCTTGATTCAAGATTCCTGGAGTTTTTTTGACATTCAAGATTCTTCCTTCGAAATTTGTTGCACTTCGTCTCAAGTATGCCACTCTTGATTGGAGAGTATAAGGGTTTCTGGAATTGATTACTGTTTTTTTTTTGATTCAAGGTACCAACCCAAAGAGAAACGATATATGCCTTAGCTTTTTTTTGAAAACATTCATCGTCATAATTGTGGACGTGAAAAATAAACCAATAAAGGGCAGTGTTGCATTTCATGCAAGATAATTTATTCAAATTTATTACGCGTAGCAGAGCGTTTTTGACTGTTGAGTCATCATTAGTGCATACCTGATAGAAAGTTACCTGCTGTTAGCTATTGCAAAACTTTGGAGAGAATTGGAAAAATTGGAAAAAATTGGGAAAAATTGGAAAAAAAAATGTTTGAGAAAAGTTTGATTCAAATTAGAGATTTGATACTTGTGAAAAATAAAAACAACTGAATATATACATACACAAAATCAATACGTATATATTGTGACCCACTTTTAATGTATCTTACGTAATCGTTGGGTAAAGATCCTGAAATTTGCTGGAGCGAGAGATATACCAAAAATGCACTCTATGACCAAGTAGTGTCCTCAGTGATATACACTGCAAGGCAACTGCAATGGAACCACCCCAATTTCCGCAAAATAATATTAGGAGTCAGAATAGGTCGGAAATCACTTCAGATTCGGAATCAGGGCGTCCAATTCACTAAATATTCATATTTTTCCTGGAAAATTTCCAGTTCAAAAATTCAATTTTGTCGCACTTTTCACGGAAGCACCCCCGCATTTCCAAAAAATTGGAATGTTGTTGGAAGTTAATGGAGAGTTCTTGGAAAAAATAGGTAGGTACCTAGTTTGTGAACACAGTGTGATAATATAATATGTACTTTAATAAAGACTATTAGCCATTTCAACAATATATCGGTATTGAATATGGTTTTCTCGCAAATGTTATTCGACCTGAACCTTCGAAACAATGAGGGTTTTCGAAAATCATCAGAAAAAAAATTATTCTCGAAATAGTTCAAGGAACATCCCCTCGGTTTTTCGCTACATATTGATTAACCTTCCTGTATAAATACGATTGATTTTTCCTGTCATTTGATTATTTATGTCTTTCAAAACAACACTCCATTTTGAATATTGTGTCAATTTTGGAAATACCCTTTATCATAAATGTATACAGAGAGCATACAAATGACACCAAGAAAAGTCAAGGGATTATTCTTCTGTGATGGAATTATCATCTTCTCGTGAATGCTTGAGTTTTCGAAAAAAATTGTGAATATAAAAAAATTAGGAAATGAATCGGGAATTTGAGCAATGTTTTTTTCAGAGTAAAGTTTTCATAAAAAAAGTTGTAAGCGGAAATATGTTAGGGATTGACAATTCGAACTCCCTCTTAACATACTTCAGGGTTGAAAACATTCCAAAATGTGTATTTTGATTTTCGAAGGGTTGTAACTCTTCCGGGGAAAGAAATAAAAAAAAATTGTTCACCAAATACACGGTAAAGAATCCTATTGAGTGGAGCTTTTCGTCAAAATATAAATGCACAATTAGTTCTATCAAGAACTCAAATTTTGATGAATGTCAGTCGGATTTGTGTACATGATTTCTCGAATATTTTTCATAGGTCTGAGACATTTTGTGTCAGTATAATACAAAGGGTAGCAATATAATGATTACACATTTCGGACCTGGATTGATAAAAAGTTGTGTGGACCTGGAGTCTAAATCAATTCAAAAATATTCACTGTGTACCCACTTTGATCCTGATCACAGAATCACCCCTCAATTTTTTTCAGTGTTATTCAGATACACCCTCAATAGAGAGCTACACCGTGAAAAGTCCACTTAAACATGTCTCTATTTAAAAACTTCTTATATAACCGCCAAATGAAACATTTTAACCACGAAATGTCATCTGATGAACGTGAAAAGTTCTCGTTTTCAACGTGAAACAGGTCACCCTTTCAAATCACTCTTTTTGTTTCAAAAAGGTAATCTTTTAGATTCGAAATGAGACAAGATTATAGTTGGAAGATGGAAATTTGAAAATAATCATTTAAATCCTAAAAGATGTAATCTCACAGTTATACAATTATTATCATTTAATTTCATCCCTTCTATCATTTCCCATCTTTGTCATACTCGTTTACCTCAATGATTCATCTCACTCACCTATGAACACTTGTTCGATGAGAATCGTTAGTCGTCTCCGGATTCCTGATATGAAAGGACATATTATTAGCTCGCGGCAGCTCGTGAACTCTTCTTGCAGAGTGATATTTTTTTTCGAAAAAGTGAAGTGGTTGAGAGATCTTCTAGATATATTATGGACATATTTGTTCATATATCCCCCAAGATTTGTTGAGGAACTACAGAATGTTAAACTGCCTCTGGACGTTATAGTGTTTTCACGATATATCGGTAAGTGTATGTATCGGAATTTCTTCCAAATTGGAAAAACTTTTATTTTTTTAACTCACCTCACTATTCACTGAGTGGCAAAAGCTTGGATTTGAACAGTGTTATCAGTGATAGATTGTATTGCGTATACATTGTGTCCAAGATTGATGATTACTATCATGGGGATATCGAAAAAGTCGTAAGAGAAGTCTCTCAACGCTCTTTTGTGAAGCTCAAGTGGCAATAACGGTAAATAAAATAAAACGAAATCTGCGAATGTGAACTCTAATTTACTGACGAAACTGTGTAATTACATTTTTGACCACTATGTTAACTGATAATCCAATGCACTGACAATATGAGAACAAATAGTCCAAATTGGAAGCATTTTTGTCCTACACGAACTGAGATATTTCAAACTGAGTATATCGTCCTTGTGATGCACTTCAATGCCCTGTAGTTTCTCAAAAAAACTGGGGTGAGTATATAAACCAAGTATATATGTCTTCAATATTTCTCGAAGAGTTTCAACCCACTTCATTTTTCTGGAGAAAAATTAATCTTCCTAATACTGAAATACCCTGCAATCATTTGACTATGAAATTGAAAGCAAATTATATTGATATGAGTATTATTTCATTTTTATAATATCATTATCCAATATTGAAATGCTTTTTATTTGACTATCAAATTGAAAACAATTCAAATTAATATGAGTATCTTCTCATTTTTATAATATCATCGTATAGCATTGAAAAGCTAGTCATTTGACCCCAACATGAGTGTCATTTCATTCTCATATAAGTGATATTTCACAGTTATATGATTTTTCTGAAATGATGAACGTGATTACAGTGAAATGGGAACTATGCTGGCGCCTATTCAATTCAGAAATCTTTTAATGGTTATACAATTTCGTATAACAGCTAATAGATATTTCTCTCGGTGTACTTTAACGAAACATGTTCCTCATTGGTACCAAGATTTATTCTTCTCTGCCAGAATAATTGAGCGGGGTATGAGAACTTTCTTCTTCTCTAAACCCTTGCGTATCTATTTGCCTTACCGAGTTCTGTCAAAGTGTACTTTCTGTTTGACTTCAGAGCTCTTGCCGTCTGCGAGGGATATTCTTATTCCTAAACAAATATACCAACCAAGAGAACGGGCATCGCCATAGCCGGTATTTATTTAAGAGTCCGAAGGACAATACAATACACCGTGGAGGAATGAAAGGGAACTCATTGTTTCCAGAAGAGCTTCACGATTGTTCTGTGAATCTGAAATGAAATAATACCAATACACTTCAGATGCAGAAAATTTCAACAAGTTAATATTCAGTCAAATTTGGAGTCTCATAACATTTCAATATTCTATTCGATTTTCATAATTTTCCCAACAAACTGTAGATAAAATTACTTATCTCAACTTGTATATCCTGTTTTTTGTGAAATGCTGGCGGATTATTCATTATAAGAGGTTAATTGAGAGGTTGTTGTGTAACCCTTATTTCAAAACACTCTGTGGAATAATTTGGTAGCCAAATTCAAAATATCAATTTTTGTTAAGAACCATTCCATTCTTACATTTTGATTTTTTGTTCATGTCTTCAAGTGTACAGAATCATTTTTGAAAGCGAAATGAACTTGAACTTGAAGAAAAAGAAAATTTACCCATGCAAACTTCAATTCCATCTCAAAATTAAATTTCAACTGTAACTTAATCAACCAAAAAAAACGTACTTTCTACAAGAAACAAGCTCAATATTTTGTATTGCCACCCCTAGTTCTTAAAACTGCCTACATACGTTGGTTCATACTGTCAATAAGGTCACGAATGGCATCCTGAGCAATATCATGCTATTCCTCCTGAA